CCCCAAAACCCCAAAACCCCAAAACCCCAAATAACTCTACAGTAGTTGAAATTTGGCTAAGTTTACTGAACTAATGTGAAAACTGAGAGATTATTTTCAATTTATTCTTTTGGAGCTCGTTCATCAGTTGAACGTAAAATCCACTAGAGAATAAGGGTGAGCAGATTTTTGCTATGAATACGGGGCTGATATATCAGAGATACTCACTTGTTATACAGAGATCATAATGTTCTCAAATTGGGATTTTCAAAGACCTCCTTGCATTGTTTGAAAAATCGCTGTTTCAGAGAAGATAATAGTTCGATTCCCTAATTTTAAATTTGGTGATGAAATCTTTTACGAAAATTCTTATCTTTTCAGTGAAAATTTTGAGTAAATTAATGATCAACCTAAGCTCCTTCCATTAAGGTCATCATCTATCAGCAAACTGAGAACTACATTTTTTGTAGAGGAAGATTTTTATGATAAATTACAAATGAAACTTGAGTAACTTCAGAATTGTATAAGAACCATTATTTCAACAATGAAGTATCTAAACTATATCAGCAAACTCTAATACTCTATAAAGTAGTTCAGCTTACCTCTATCTATTAGTTTGACAATGAACCTCCTATCACAGGCTGAGCTAAACTTCCCAAGATATGTATAGATTTTTCTATGAACACCACCAGTTTCTTATTGTGTTGAAATTACTCTTAAAATAATCTTCATTCACATTTACAAAACCTGTCTAAATGCTAGCTACGCCCTAGACGAGTTGGAAGACACAAAGCTGTGTTTCAATCTCTCAAAATTTACTATTTTTGGGCAGTCTAGGATCTGAATTTCTGAAGAATTAAGGACATAGTGACAAAAATTTATGAAAAAGGTAAATTATTTCAAAATTTAGCAATCTTTGAAGAAAAGGTATCTCAACTAGAAGGGCGAGTTTTTATAAATCTGAAGGCATTAAATCCCACTAGCTCAAGGTTAGAAGGCTTATATGGCTTAGAAATGCATGAATGAAGGATCTTGAATTGATTTCTTTGATAGACCTATTTTTGGAATTAGAAAATTCTTCATCATTGTGAGAAGAGAGGTATCATCCCCTGCTGGCTTTAGAAAGAATGCCAATAGTATTTAATATAAGTTTATTAATATCCAGATCTAGGGAGACCCTTTAGAAATATAAAAAGTTACTCACGTAGCTTTGTCTATAGTGGAAGAATAACTTCCTTAAGAAATTTTGAGTAACAACAGTAACTTACTACTCATGACAACAGATTCATAGGAATAAATTTAATAATTAAGAAAATATTTGATTATTAATTTGAAAATAACCCAAAAGCAGCCATGATCGAACTTTTATTAATCAAAGCAAGAGCCAGCTGTTGGAATATTAGCCTATAACTCACAGTTTGTGTGTATAAAAGCCAAAGTGCATTATTTTGGCCTCCATTACAGCAATAGTGAAGCATACATTTTTAATCATAAAATTGGAATGTTTCTGATCCACCACTTAATTATTTTAAAAATCTCAAAACTTAATGTTCAAATTTTTTATTAACAGTTGTTCTTTCTCTATTTCCAGAATAATCTTTCAGCTCTTTTAGACTAACCACTAAAAGGTGATTAAAAGACTCATAGAGGGCTGTCCCTTTAACAACGAAAGGAGGGAAATTGAGAAGGCAATAGCACTCTTAATTTGTACTGGAAAATAACCTCCTTAATTAACCAGAACCGATCGAAGCAAGAGTAAAGAAAACTTATGTTATGAATAAGATTAAGCTTAATATTTGCAAGGCAAAGTTACATTAAAAATGGGATTCATTTCTATAATGAGCTGAACAAATTTCTTGTGCTCTTTTGCTTATTTAGTTGCATTTTTTTCGATACTCTAGTGATTCTGAATACACAGGGCTGGGTAGCGTTATTATGATTTAGTATGTTTCTCGTTCTTCAAGGTATCTTGGAAATTGGGAGAAAAGTTCTATTTCTTTGGAGTATTCTCGCCTTCTCCTTGTTTACTCTGAATTGTTTTATCTGAAGTTTAGCAATGCAGGCATCAATAAAGCTGTCCATTTTATCAAATTATGTTTCAACTTTATTTTCTAGCTCTGGGGTTTTGGGGTTTTGGGGTTTTGGGG